TTCTGTACTCTTCGTCTTTCTAGTGCTGTGCTCAGTGCTTCTTTTACTCATGTCCTTCCCCACCCCACCTCATTTTTCAGCAAAGTAGCTTTGGGGCCAGTATTCTGTTCAGTCTTTTTTCTATTTTTTCTGTGGCCTGATGAATTCAAGTGCTCTCTGTTAAAGGTCCTGAGCCAAATACGTTTTCTGAGGTTTTTATTTTAAAATGAATATTTCATTCAAAAGTAAAATCTACCTCCGGAGAAAGCGGATAAAACATCTGGTAAACTTGGCAGATGCAGTCTCCAGTCGGTTCAAACAGCTAAAGGCATGAATTTTCTAAGCAAGTTTTATAATCTCAAATGAAAACAACAACAACAACAACAACAACAAAAACGATGTTTGAAAATGTGTATGTGTTCTTTTGTGGTACTTTATATAAATTTTTATGAATAAATCATTGCTGGGCTACAATTTGCATGATGGAAAATTCACCCTGATTTTGACCATGTTCTGAGTTACACAATGGTTACAATTACAGCTCAAGCCATTTCAGCGTTAGATAACAGCTTAACGTTAGGATAATTTTGAACACACCAGAATTGAGGTCAGGTGACAACACTGCCAGAGCCCAGGCTAGATGGAAGGGAGGGACCAGGGTGGTGCTGTGTGCAAAGAAGAAATCTGTAATGAGAAATACCATGGCTCAGGGCAAAGTGAGTGTCAGCTCCACACCAGACAAAGGAGGCAGATGAGACCTGCAAAATGCCCTCTCAGAGGCAGAGAGCAAGTCAGAGGGAGCCCTGTGCTCCACTGCGGAAGAAAGGAAAGGATCTGCGACCAGGAAGTTCAACGTCTCTTGGATCCAGTTTATGTGAAGAACCCACCTCTGTTTGCCCTTAGGACTTACTCACTTAAAGAAATTCAATCATAAGGGTTCTAAAGGGATTGGCACTGTAAATCATCAGCATAATTTTAGAATAATTTTGAACACACCAGGCTAGACATCTGTCTCCCGATTGGCTGGTTCCTCTAATGGGTGGGGCCTGACATGAGCGGGAAGTAGGAAGGGAAGCCAGGAGCCATCTGGGGATGGAATCCAGGAGCCACCTGTAGAGCGTGATGGTGTAGGAAACTCGCAGCCAACGCAGCAACTCGAAGACAGAATGAATTGACTCTCTGTGGAGCTGGGGCAAGATCGCTGGCCCCCGACGCATGAGCGAATGCTAGTGGGGCTATGGGCATGGCACAGTCTGATAAGGCGGGCTCTGAGTCACGGCAATGCTGGGCTAGGCACTGGGTTCTCATTCCTTTGTAAGTTAATAAACTCACATAAAATATATTATATGGTTTGTCTGATTGTGAAGGAGACCCAGAGAGAATTCAGGCCACAACATCCAACAGGAGAGGGACACAGACCCAGTAAGAAACCTGAGGGACACTGGGAACAAAGGCCTGACTCAGGAGCAGCAGGCAAACATCTGTGCACTGCACTAGCAAGAGGGGAAGCTCATTTGTATCTCTAGACAGCACTGGCAGACAAAGTGAACCAGGTTCTCCAAAGACCAGAGGCAGGAAGAACACACATTTACACCAAGCAAGGAATCCCAAAGCCGGTCACTGTATGTGAAGGAAGGACCATCACCTTACCTCGGCCAGCTCTGAGTAGTATACTCATGCTTTTTCCCTTGAGAAATTAATTCCTGGGCAAGGAGGATCAAGGGAATGTTCACCATGAAGATTCTGGCCTTCCTGTCCAAAGACAAGTGTCCTTGGCTTGCACTGATAGAACTCTAGTAGAGTAAGACACTATAAAAGACACCAGGTAAGTATCAGCCTTGTGAGTCTCTAATCCTTTCCATTTCAAAGTGTCAGGAGTCAACCAACTCTGAGCAATTTTAATGAAAAGAGATTGGCTGTTTTTCCTTTTGAAGATTCTCATAGTTCATTTCAATATTTCGTTGTCTCTGAAATAAGACATTAAAAGTAATATCTATTAAAATTAAATTTTATTCCAAATTACAATTTAGAGAGGAAGAAACCTCCTTGAAGACACACAAACTTTGAGTCAAAAGAGCACATTCAGAAGTTAATCGAACATAAAGCTATAAGCTCAGAAGCTCTGAAGCTAAACTTGTCAAGCTAGTCTAAACAAGTGTGGTCTAGGAATCCAGCTTTCAGCAGAACTTCCCCAGTTCCTGCCTGTCATGCGCAACTTTTGGAGCAGGACTTCCTGCAGGGCTCGTGATTCCAGGCTTGTTCCTTGCTGGAAAGTGCTGAAAATTCCTCACCCTCCTGACAGAAACAACTTGATTAGGGAGCCACGACATCTGCAGCTCACTTCTGTGTATGGTATCTTCACCCATCAACCCACTGGCGATTGCAAGAACTTAGATCCATCCCAGGATTCAGGATCTAAGTATCAGTGTGCATAGGCAACGCATTAAAAGTGAAGGAAAATGTCAGGATAGTGGAACAACAGAGTGCAAAGCAACGCAACACATTTGGTGCAAACCTGTAAACCTGGGCGGAGATCAGGAAGCCTGGAACCTCTGTAGTCCCTAGGCCTAAGCTTGTACCTCACTGGCAAGCAAATCCCAGAGCTATTGTTGGTTTGGGTCCAGACAACTGCAATAGAGCAATTTCCAAAAGAAAGTAAGTCATAGATTTGTGGTTTCCCAGCATCTATCAAAATTGTGTTTGTATTGTACTATAGTCTACCAAGGCCTGAGTAACAGTTGTCTTGAAATATGGATAAGTTCAATCATAGTACCTCATAAAAATGTTGACATCATAGAGACTGTTAGAAAAATGTCACAGGTAGACTTGGGGGAGAGGGAGCAGCAGCCAGGCCACAAGGAGGTCATTCAACCAGACTTCTGCAAGGAAGTTTCTAGAAGCTGTAATGTTAAAAAAGTGACCGATTCTAGTTATTATTTAACCTGAGACCTGTTGTTTGACTACGTTGAACTGTTTTGATTTGGTTCTGTTCAAACATATTGTTTAGAATAAAGATTCCCCAACGTTTTACTCCTGTGGGTATGTTTTAAATAGTGTTATTTGTGCTGCCCGAATTCATGTGTTGATGGCCTTATCCTCAAAGCAATGGTTTTAGGAAGCAGAGCCTTCCAAGTGTAAAGAGTAAATAACGGTGAAACTCACATGGCGTCATCTTGGCTCTTCTAAATAGAAGATCATCCTAGCCCTTGGGAGGCTGAGGCAAGAGGAAGAGGTGTTTATGGACAGTTTAGTCTGCACAGGGAGTCTGAAACAAGCCTGGCTACATGAGAATGTGTTTCATAAAATCAAAATAAAAAGAGGAAGCACAATAGAGACTCTCTCCACCTACGAGGATACCAGGGACAGGCGAACATCTTCAAGCCAGGAGAGAGCCCTCCATAGGCACGAGGTCTACTGACCCCTTGATTTTGGACCCAGCCTCCAGAACCAAGAGAAATGAATCCCTGGCTTTTGAGCTACCTCGTCAATGGTAATGCTATAACCAACAGCCAGAACTGATGAAGGCATTCATCAGAATTAAAACAGGGGTTTTGTTAGGAGTCACGAGAACTCCCTATAGATCATCATTGCCTCAAGGGAAGTAGGTATAACCAACTCACTTTCTCAGGAGGGAAGAGTTCAGAAGGCTATGAGTTCATGGATGGCCCCATCCCTCAGCATCTCCACCACAGGGCCTGATGAGGACCTCTCTTAAAACAAAAACAATCCCTTCTTAAAGTTCCGTGACATCAAGTCACCTCATAAGCCCCTATCTTCCCTGAGACAGCACTGCAAACCGCTGCTCCAAGCAGTTCTGACAGGTGACATCCCCTCTACAATCTTTCTGCCACTCCCCTACCCTTCCCACTGACTGGTCTTCACCAGTCCAATGGGAACACACCTTTGCCTTACTGAGTCATCAGCAGCCATGCCCCCTGATAACCAGCTCCACATCTTCACTTGGTGCTCAGCTGCCAGGGCTCCTGGAAGTGGGGTTGCTGACAAGAACAGGAGCATCCTCTGGGCACACTCATCTAGGCATCCCTGTGTTTGCACCCGCTTCATCGCTCCTCATCACTTTACTGGTGATGTGTTTTACTTTCCTGGTTTGTTTACTACCCAAATTTCCTTTTGGGAACAGGAGTCCCAGGAGACTAGGATGGTACCAATCTGCTTGCCGTACACTCCCGGTGTAAAATTAATTCAAGAGAGAGCAAATTTCAACAAATTGTATCAATTTCATGAGTACAAAAAACTGACTGACAAATACATCATTAAAAGTTGAGAAATTCCATCAAGACATGATATAATATTTACAGCCACATGCATAGTATAGAACACACTGGACAACGAGCGGGCAGAACCCTTTCCACGGTCAAGCTGTTCTGTCTGGGGTCAGGATGGCGGGGCTGAGACCCAGTTCCTGAGGCTGGATAACAACCCTGGGCTGCCTGAGCAATGCAGTCAGACAGAACATGCTTTCCACACTACACTGACTTTGGAATCTGAAGAAGTCTAGTCGCTATGTGCAGTTTGATAAGCGTAGCTGCCTGTTCTGTCTGTGAAATACTGTGCTGTTTTTGCTCTAATACCTGTTCTTCAAACATGTCCACATCCCTTCCTCAGGAATAGATTGTTAAGGGCACTGCTTCTGAACCAATCAGAGATCACCGTGAAAAGCTCAGGAAAACATTTTACCCAGCAAGGTCTTCTCAGAAAGCACTGCATTGTCTAAAGTGGTCCAATGAAGGTGGTCTTGCCAAGGCACTGTTTGAGTGGCTAAGGAAAAACAGTAGTTAAGAAAGCAGGTATTGGCTTCCTAATTAAAATTCTGACTAGCACAGTACAAAAAGAGGGTAAACAATTTCCTAAACAATGCACAGAGAAAGGCAAGGACATCATGGGATCTGAGAGACATGAGACAAGACATGCCCACAGCTGCACTTGAACAGAAGGGCTTGAAATTGAAACACCGAGTGGGGAGATGGCCGAAAACTGCCAGTGGGAAGCAGAGCTCCTACCTGTGGCGAGATAGACGATGTGGATGAGGCTATCCCTGCCCTGGACTACGTCGACAGCCACGTGGGAGAAGCGGCTGTTGTCCTCCATGAAGGAGGGCACCTGGGTCACTGGCTGCACCACCTCATGCATCAGAATGAATTTCTGAGCATCCTGCAGGTTTCTTTCCGTCAGGTTTATGTACAGGCCCTGGTCCACGGTGCCACACTGTAAGGAAAGACATACCATGTGATAAGAACTATCCACTTGGATGCCCACAGCTGATGCCCACAGCAGATGTGGCTACAGAGATGGAGGGATAAACTGAGCAAACTGAGCAAGCCAGAATGTGTGACTGAGTGTGCAAACAAGTTCACATCTCCATCTCCCCTAACTTTCCCACCCCTCCCCGTCTCCCCTTGCAGATGATAACTCATCACATTTGAGAATCTCTCAATGGATGGCAAAGAAAATACCATAAACTTAGAAGATTGGACAATGTTGTTGACTTAATTTGAAGGGCGGAGGAACTCCTGGTGGTCTGTTGGGTATTTAGGGAGCTGCCCATCGATATGCACTCCTATTGTATCTGACAGATAAAGCTGACCCCACACCGAACATGCATCAGTCAAGGGGCATCACACAAACTTGTCACTTCCCTTATTCGCCAGTAGGTTAACAAGGAAACCTAGACCCACAGCAATAGGTCTGTGCTACTTTAATCTGTAAACAATGTGATATCACTCCCACGGGCTTCACAAAAACTATGGCTGGTCCATTTTCTTATTTCAGGCTATAGGAAATTTAGTTCACGAATTTTGGAAGTAAGACAGCAAGTTGGTAATGGGAAAAATAGATAAAGAGAGTAAGCAAGAATGGAGTGGAAACGGGGAAGAGAGGGGATAATGTCCCATGGAAACCAAACTTCTCTTTGGGACTTGTCAGGTCAGGCTTTTTTCTCAGCCTAAGTTGTTTTTATATGGTTACCCTCAGCCCTCCCTTCTGTTTGGAAATAAATATATTTTTTTAGAACATCTTGACTGAAAAGGTGCATTCATCCAAATACGGTGCCAAGGACACAGGAATGAGGGTACTTCAGTAGTTCATGTGCCAACAGTCCACGTTTCCTGTGTGCACCTAAAGGTCAGAGGATAAGGAAAGAGGAAAGGAGAGAAGGAGGGAGGGAGGGAAGGATGGAGGGGAGAGGGAGGGAGGGAGGGAAAGAAGGAGGGAGGGAAAGGAGGGAGGGAGGGAGAAAGGAAGGAAGGAAGGAAGGAAGGAAAGAGGGAGGGAGGGAGGGAAAGAAGGAGGGAGGGAGGGAAAGGAGGGAGGAAGGGAGAAAGGAAGGAAAGAGAAAGAGAGGAAGAATTTGCAGGTTGAAGAGATGTCAAAGAGCTGATCTGGGACATAAAGGGGAAAAGCAGCCCTGGAAATTGCTGACACTTAATCTCAGAGTGCTGGTGACAGGCCCTGGAGATACCAGTTAGTAGCAAGGACAAGGTCAGAGGGAGGAGAGAAAGAAAGCAGGCCAAGCACAGATTCATAAAATTATCGCCCGCCTTCCTCATCTCTTTTATAAACTTTAAACCTCTGTATAAATAGTGATGCTGCTCAGCAGAACTTCTGTAAGTAGGGTGATGGGGGCTGTGCTTCCGGAAACTACCACTTATAACATGTTGTTTCTAATACTTGGGTTTTATAACAGGTTAGAGGTCCAGGAGTATAAGACAGAAATTGAAAGTAAATTATATTTTTGTACCATTTGATAAAATACTCTCAATGCCATAAAAATGGTAGATCAGTTGCAGAGTGAGAATATCCTGGAGTTAAAAGGACTGCATGCAGCCAGTCCAACACTTAATTCAATTTCCCACCACTGTAGAAGCACTTGGGTATCATGCAAAGGAATTATGTGTGTTCATGGTAAAGCTCAGTCCTCCAGTGAAGGGCCCATGGTCCCAGGGGCCTGACCTCTCAGCCTGTCTCCTCAAATGCTAAGTAGCTAGAAAATACCAGCTCTGCTTTCTTCTCATGTGCAAACAACTGCAATAATGAGAGGGAAGCATTTATAAATTAAAATCCTTGTAAACGCCAAAGAAAAGGACAGCATGTCTGGCAGAGAAACCATCCAACCAACCATGAATGCATTTGTCTTAAAGCAGGAGCGAGTGCATGATCCAGGGAGCTGCAGTGTCCAGAGGGAAATGAGTGAATAAAGGAACAAGATATCAACAAGTACATCCACGAGCAGTTGCATTTGGGGACTAAGGAGAGACAGTTCTGAGAAAGTTTAGATAATTATAGTATTTACTAAAAACGTTTGGAGCAGGGGAATATTGCCTATCAGGAACAGTTTTAGGAAATTGAAAAAAGCTCCACTTGGGACCCGCTGTAGCCTATCCAGGAAAATACCTCAGGTACACGTGGCAATATTGACCTACCTGTTGGAGAAGTTCACATATATAATATAAACAGGTATTGTTTATATTCATGATATTTTAAAACAAAGGACACCCTAAAAACGGGGAGATGTAGTCTAAAAGGAGAGACCTCACACTGCATTTGAAGATGCCCCATCTGGGAGAGCCAGGGGCTTTGGGGTTCTGAGGTCGCACCATGTTCATTCCCAAAGGCCATGTTTCTTCACACTGTCTGCCTGTATCATCAAGAACTCTACTTGAACTGTTCTCTATCATTTATTTTCTGTTGCCGTCCTGTAGTAAACATCTGGCTTTCGCATTTTGAAAACTATTCAAATTTATTGGATATATTTATTGGATCATAGCAACTCACAAGCTCTCTCAGGGCTGGGCATTCTCTTGCTGAGCCTTACACACTGATCTCCCCTGGTTACTGAGTCAGGCACTGTGATGCCCTGGGGACCTTTTGCAGGATTTGTAAAAGGACAAACATCAAAAAAGCACAGCTGCTGCCTGTGGGCCTCAAAGGCTGCCAGGCCAACGTGTCTTCACATAAAAAGCTCAGTAATCCTATTACTTGTTAAGGAAGTAATGAACACTTGCCTGTGTTTCCTTTCAAGGAAAAGAAATCCATCCCTGTGACACACCCATGCCTGGTGGTCAAGCTCACCATGAGCTAACCTCATTCCATGACCACCTGACATCCATGATGCCTCTGTGCACTGGTTCCCCTGGTCCCTCCCATCTTGCTGTCAACCTGTGTGTATCAGTGAATCCTGGATGGATGCAGCCAAACCTCCGCTTTACACTTCCTAAGCAGTGATTTTTCCCTTTCTGTTACATAGTTTCTGACTTCTAGACATGAAATCGGTGAGATCCTGGAGCCCGTCACCCTGCTGTTGTTCAGCTGTGTCTAGACACTGTTTTCAGTGGCTGCTGATTTCATAAGGTTCAGCCTCTCCTACCTCTAACAGTACAAACACCACTGAAGATGGTTTCTAGACTAAAACTGATAACAATGAGGAGCAGCTTCTGTTGCTTTAAATTGAGATTTTGAAGTGTTATATAACATGCTTCCAATCACTTTTCATGAACCAGCTCCTCTAATTACTTGTTTTTTTTATACTGTGTAAGTACTGCATAAAATTCTATTTATCAAGAAGAAAAAAATAAATAAAAATGTAACTATTTCTTATTGTAGGTCATTGCAAATGGGACTTTTATGCATGTCTGGCTGAGGGATCCTTAATTAAAAATGAATTTCTATTCTGTGACAGCCTAGGTGACTATATGGACATCAGTCAGGAAACTGTGGCAGTGTAGCTACTACACATAACAAACAAAAAGAGAATACCTATCTTTAGTAAGAGCTACATCAGCACACACACACACACACACACACACACACACACACACACACACACAGCCCAAAAGGCAGAAACCATAATCTGTAACGTTACTTCCCTGGATATTTTAGATCTACTGGCAGAGGACAACGTCAGCTCAGCAGTTCCCGCGTCACTTGCAGGCCTCCTTTGTGCCTGCTTCATTATTGAGCAGGGAGCCACTTCTATGTCATAGATGCAAACAAGCCCTTCAGTGTGACTCTGGCTTTATTATACTCAATATGGGTGGACTTAGGACATGAGGGCATTTGCTATATACTCTGGAAACATCTAGACGAATGAGCTAAAAGACACCCACTACCTGTAGGTTATAAAGGATTATAAAGTGTATTAAGTTACTTTCTTCCTTGCAGAGAGTTGCAGTACAATGTAATTATATACTCTAAGAGCACTGTAAACATGAGAAGCATCTTTCTTAATTTCTTTTAAACTTCAGAACTTAAGAAGCATGTTCTTAAAAGGGATAATATATTTTATCTTCTACATAAAAAGAAAAATAAGTCAAAACATACAATTACTCAGCATGTAGCATATAGAAGACACCAGACAGACGGTTCCTGTGAGTCATTCCAATTTCACTTAAATACATTTTGTGGTAATAATGCTCATTGATTGACAACAGCAAAGTTTGTCTGTATCTCTCCCTCCCTTTTTATTGAGAAAAGCATGAAACGATGTTAAACATTTTACCGAGAGAAATCAGCAGAAGACGTGTAAAGCAGCTATTTTATATTAAGCTCATAGTCTGTCCCCTCAAACTTAAAATGTTGAGCAGATAAAAACTTCTGAGATAGAAAATTTATTGAATTTTCATACATTTCATATAATATGTCTTAATCATATTTAGTCTCCATCCCCTAACTGCAGCCCCCGCCCCCATAGCCTGCCCACTGGATATCATGCATTCTGCCATATATCTTAGGGCATGTCAAGTCACATTTGTGTACCCAGAGGTCCCTTGGTATGACTTCATCCACTGGAGCCTGGTCAGCCTATCTAGCACCACTCCTTTAAAGAAGACCACCTCTCCTTCACCCAGCAGTGATCAATTGACAATATGAACAAATGAAAACTAATACTGTAAGTAACTGATGCTTGGGAAAATCGAAATGTAAAAACTTGAACCTTTTCATAATCCAGTTTCTTCAGGGTCCATAGGTTTTATGCTTTGGAATGGTGACTTAATCAGAACTGGAAGAACTCAGTTCTATCGCTAACCAATGACTGTCTCTAACAGTCATTTAATCGGATGAGATCAGGATTTTGCCTCTGCCGGTGGGGGCAGGAACCCAGAGCTTGATCATTACTCAGCTCTGGCCCTGGCTACCTTGCCTGCCCCAAGGCTCCATGCCTTCCTCTCTGCATAGCACAGTGGTCACTACCTAGGTAGGAGATGACACATCTGACATGGGACAGGGTGCCTGGAACTTGCTGATGCTGAACCTTCTGCCTGTGACACTTGTGATGGCAGAGCCCTGGCAGTGAAGGCAGCCACAAGGGAAGGCTGCTCTTCTTTGTGCCCTACCCAAGCCCATGTGTCACAGCACGGCTGCGGGCAAGACAGGACCTCTAGGGAGTAATTCACATTGAATGAGACCAGAAGGGTGGGGCTCTGACACACTGAAAACGAGGAGGAAACAGTAGAGAGGTATGCGTGGCTGTCACCTTGGTCTTGAAAATACAGTCTCCACAACTGTGGGAAAACAAGAGGCTCCTTTGAAAGCCATCCAATCAATTCTTTTTTGATGAACATACTTGCTGGCTAGACAAACAAAATCAATAACTGCATCACTAGGTCTCCACATCTGAACGTTGGACATGAGATGATTCACAAAGGCCATTCTAGCTTCAAGATTCTGAGTGACTGAAAGATGAATGGACATCAGCTCTGCCTCTTTTCCCATCTGCTATGACCACATTCCACCTTTCCCAAAAGGAAGCCTCACCATAGTCGCCAATTAGCGTTCTAATTTTGTTTGTCCAGATCCATTGCTGTGCCTCAGGCCCTATACATTACACTGTTCATTAGGGATCAGAGATGCTAGGGACACAGAAACCACATCATTAGTACTAATTGAAGCCTGGATTCCTAGCCTGCTGCAGAAGATGGGCCTTTTTCAGTTCAACATCAGGCATCACAGCTCACAAAAGGCCCCTCCTTTTATTTCTTTACTTTTTGGTCCAGGTGCCGTAGTTAACAAAGGCTCTGGTCTACCGACATTAGCTTAGGTGAGATTGCGACTGTACCCAGAGGCCAGGAGACTGCAGTTGCACTGTGCACCTGGCCAAGGTTTAACTGCCTCCAACTCTCTAAACTGAGTTTCTACATCCACTGTCAGGTACGTATAAGGCTTTCTGCCTTCTTGTTTGAGGATACCCAGAGTGCCCTCTGCCCCTGAGATTACCTGGAAGTTGGGGTTGGGGTTGGGATAAGGCAGCCAGGCCGAGCGAGAGTTCTCTTGGTACTTGAAGGGCCCATTGAAGGCCTGTGAGATGGCGCTCAGGTTGAAGACACACACAGCTGACGCGGCAATGCTGTTCCTAGAGAATGAGAAGGAAGAAGGAACATGATCAGAGCCCAGCAGGGACCACTGACCTCCATTGGCTGGCACCAACTTTAGATGTCTGAAGCCCAAAGGCGTCTACATATTCCAAGAAGATGGTCAATGTCTGAGGCTCTCCTATGGGTTCCTTCTGTAAAATAAACATTTAGATGTTGAAATAAGGATGGTTAGCAGATGACTCTGGCCACCCTGCCAGCGGGACTAATTCACTCAGCTACAACAGGGACAGCAAAGGATTCTGAAAAGCTCCCTGCTTCCTGAATTTTAAATTAAGGAAGAAAAAGACTTTGTCCTCAGTGGACGGAGCCACCTGTCAGTCTTGCATGGCTCCCTTGATTTATCTGGCTATTGTAGCTGGCAGCCGGCCAAGCTTTTTTTTTTTTTTTTTTTTTTTTTTCTTTTAAATCTCCAGATATTTTTTTTTTTTCTTTTTTAAAAAAACATCAATGTTCCTCTTACTGTTTTTTTTTTTTTTTTTTTTTTTTTTTTCCTATTAAATCTCCAGATATTTGTGTTTGTCATTCTTTAAAAAATAATCAGCTCAAAGTATTTTGCAAAGAGCACCTGTCAGATTCCTCTCCTTTTTTAATTTAAAAGGGACTGTAAATACAAAGGATCCAACAGAAAAACTTGACAGAGCACCAACATACAAAATTTTGAAGTCTTAATTTAGAATTCAGGCTCTGCCAGAAAAGTTGTAAGCAGAGGCTTTGGAAGGTCAGTGCCCTTTGACCAAGCACCAAGACAGCAAAATGTGGTCTGGTGAGAGCTGCATTTCAGGCTGAGCTGTGGTTCTCAAAGGGAAATGACGACCAAAGGAGGCCATTTAATGTATTTTACATATTAATGCTTTGAGCCAATAATACATCAATACAAATCAGCATTTTTCCTATATCATAGGAGGAAAAAAATAATCACAGAACCTCCCCTGAAGCCCCTATCAATTTTGTGTTTGTTCATTTGGTAAATGACAAGTAGAGCAGGACCCTGCCTGTCCTTCAGACTTTCCTATTTCCAATACACGTAACCTGTGAGAGGTAAAGGTATCCACAGGTAAGAAAAGGAACATGAAGCTGGCTCAAGGAGATCAGACACCTGGCCACAGATAGGGGCAGCACCCTGGCCAGTTTAGCTCCAAAGACCAGGATTTTAATTCTTTGTGAGAGTGGTCTGAGAAGTGGATGTTCTAAGACCATGACAAAGTAAGCTGTGTTTCTTCTGGGCTCCCAGCACTGAGAACAGGACCCACATGGAGCCTGGGGGCCAGTGCAGTGGTTAAAAGGAGTGTTGCATGGTGTGAATTGATTCAAATTGCTCCCATATTCTTCTTTTCTTTATCTTTGGGGAAAAAGCATGAAAAATCATTAATTCAGGGAGGAAATAAACTTTGGGCATGTGCCTGGACTTTGGTAACAACCCTGGAAAACAGTTACACTGGACCAAGAACAGACACAGGATGCCCTGGGTGGGTCTCAAGCCAGACACATGACAGATGGCGGAGGGTCAATAGTGATAATATCATCGCTAGACTTCTCCTTAGCACTGGCAATCACCATCTATTTTCTCATGTATAGATCCTAAATCGATCCTGACTTTCCAAACAGACAAATAGGTTAATTAGCCCATAACACAGCTATAGAAGGTAAAGTTGGATTTTCACTGCTATGCACAAAGGCCCCCAAGTCCATTCCCTGCACCAACTTGCCAGTTGCCTCTTGGTGAAAGAAGGACCGCATTTCTCTTCACTGACTCTGAACGGGGCTGATCTTGGCTGTGGTGTCAGCTCAAAGGCTCCCCTGAAGTCCCAGTACTTGCTGATCTGGACCTCCCTCCCTGGTTTGGGGGCAAACACTTCTTCCCGCCCACTCTCTTTCCTTACATGACCCTATTGCTCCTCCATCCTTGTTCTGTCCTCCCTGTCTTTCTGGGGCAGACCAGTTTGCAGGAAATATACACCTCATTTCTCCACCAAAGGTGGTGAAGCCAGCTCAGGTCTGTTAATTACACTAACCTCTGAATAAGTTCCTTAAAATTGGGATCAATAGCAGGGAGTTTATCTTGGAAGCACATGTATTCCATCCTGCCCTCCACCAGAAATCAAGGAGATCAAGTAGTTCATTTCATACTTTATATTATTGCCTAACTTGTTTACAGCCTAAGAGAAAGAAAAAGATGCCCAGGGACCGGAGAGATGTTCAGGACTAAGAGAGCTTACTGCTCTTGTAGAAGACCAGATTAAGTTTCCAAGGTCAGTATCAGGTTGCTGACAGCTGTCTGTTGTCTCCAGTTCCAGATTAGATACCCTTTTCTGGCTTCTGTGGACATGTACAGTCACATGATATATATAAACATACAAAGGTACACACACACACATACACACACACATAAATAAAAAATTAATTCTCTCCTCTCAAGGCTCAGGTATCATTGCAGAAGAGGGTTAGAAAGAGGTGGTAGATGAGTTCAAGGAAACTTGTCTGGACACCACAGGTAGTTGCACATAGGAACCTACAGCACTTAATGACAGTGTGCACAAGACCTGTGCAAAATTAAACATAAGGGGTCCAGCATGGATCGGGGAGGTGGGCAAAGAAGCTCCAATCCTGGCTGGGGATCTATTGGCAGTTGATAAATGATGGAAGAGGGAGAGTCAGTTTTCCTTACTGGTGTGACACCTGGGTGGGTTGACCAGACTCCAAGGGATAGACCCATACCCAAGAGGACTTGGGAGACACAGATTAGACTATATAGGTCTTTAAAAAATAATAGAGGATCTAAAGTTGGGGTTGGTAAGGTAGAGATAGAGAGGGCTGAATCTCAATAAGATCGAAACCTTGTTTGAATACGATCCCAGTCTCCTCTGAATATGATCAAAATGCATTAATGTGAAGTTCTCAAAAATCAATATTTTTTTATATATATATTTAAGATACCAAGGACTGACTTTGTGAGAACAGCAATAGGGGAACTTACAAATCTGCTTCTAAGTGAAGTAGAAGTTATCAAAAAGTTCTTATAACTCTTAATCTCGTTTGAAGAGCGGTACAGCCAAAACCTCAGAACCCCTGAGTAGAGCGCCAGTCCTGAGAAATCTTTATCTGCACATATTAAACTACTGGATATATACAGCAGCAGTGGTGACCCACGAGGTTGTTTAAAAAGACTTTTTTTTAATTTCATGTGTATGAGTGTTTGACTGCATATGTATGTGTATCACATGCATACAAGGTCTACAAAGCCCAGAAAGGGCATCAGATGCCCTGGAACTAGAGTTATAGATGGCTGTGATCCACTATGTGGGTGCTGGGAAAAAGTGGCAAGTGCTTTTAACCACTGGGCCAGCTCCCTAGTCTGGAGCCACCAGGCTAGATACCCAGGAAGAAAAGTCAAAACTAAGCCAGGAGAGGGAGGAGAGCTGGGACACACTGTGAAACTGGAGAATGGCTGAGGACATTCAGGAGACAGGCGTGACAGGCGTTCTATATCTGAAAGGAGTTGCATGTTGGGTGACTCCTGTCATGGTAGGCATCTCTGCTCTAGGATAAGAGTTTGATGCACTCTCTCTTCTCTCTAAATGGACCCATCTTGGAATGGCTCAAACATGGTACTTATGAAACTTTTGAAATTGGAGTTTCTGCTGCTGTTATTTTTGGCTGGGGATGGACAGCTGAGTAAGCCAAGCTCCCATTGTGTATAAAATTGATGTCAGCTGAGCAACTGAACATTTATCTTGTGCAGCCTACACTATTTCTTAAACAAGGTTTTGGAAAGAAAATCAAGTTTAGAAACAATAAATCGATGTTTTATGAAAAAGAAAATTCTCAAGGAGTGAAAATGACCTCCAGGGTTGAAAAGTAGATCTACAACAAGTAGGGCCCCAGTGGAGGCAGCTGGGGGTGGGCCTTCCTTCTACCGCTTTCTAACTTCATATGTGAAAGAAGACAGTGTGGTAACTGTTTTTGCCCTGGGAACATGAACACTCACCAGTAGTGGAGAACGAAAGGCTGTGGTAAGTGACTGTGGGAATGCCATTCAATGTGTTCACTGTAAGGCTTCTGATACCAAAGGGTAAAAAAGTAAAGTTGGGGCTCGGGGCATGGCTCAGTAGAGGAGTCCAAGTGTGAGGAGTTTGGATCCTCAGAATCCATGTAAAAGCCAGGCAGATGTACAGCCACCTGTAATCCCAGTACTTCAAAAGCAGAGGCAGGGGATCCCCTGGACTGGCTGGCTAGCTACAATACCCAGAACTGCCTAGTCCTGGTTCTGTGAGAGGCCCTAGCTCAGAGAATAAAGTAGAGAAGCATGGAAGAAGAGATCTCACATCAACTTTGGCCTCTACACTCATACATAAACACACATACCTACCCGCACACATATACACATGCATGCATATACACAAAGCATGCACATACACATACAATGCACACATGCCACCTCACATACACACACAAATGCAAAGGTGAAGTGATACACGGAGCAGAGCACACATCACAGGGTAACTCACTGTCCAGTTTGTGAAGAATGAAAGTTTCCCAATATGCAAAGCAGCCATCAATAATAAAACTGGCATAAGCCCCCGAAAGCCAGGGATATAGGATGCACATTCATCTGCTGAGCACCACGCACATCCATTTTGAATCCTTTAGCTTTGGACACAATTGCTTTATTTTTGTCTAAATTATTAGGTCTCCTAGCTGGAGATCTGAGCCAGAACACATTCGGGAGAACCAGAGCTGGCCTTGCTCATGTTGTAGGGACTGTATCTCAGAATGTGCTCTCTAATTCCCAGGCAGGCAGGGGTGTTCTTGTGAAATCTTATCACAGCCCACCAGCTAAGGAAGGGAGAGATCGATGCGGGATCATGAGTGAGTCCACCAAACTAAAAATGAGAGTGCTGGAAACTTCCCAAGCCAAACAGTGTCTGCTCTGCCGTTATGAGTATCTTCCCAAAAGGAAAATAAAATGCAACATTCCCAGAAATATTTCAAAAGTAAAATTGACACTTAAGCAATATAGGTCCAAGTGAGATGCTTTCTAAACAATGGAGCAAAACACACATATGGGAAATCACAAAGTGTGTTTCACATGCAGACATTCGGGCAGGAATGATCTTATCTGAAAGATCCAACTTCCCAGACAATGTGCTTTCATTATGCACAAACGTATGACTTTGCTACCGAAACGTACATCTGTGAGCACTGATATTTCACACAGTATCCTGAACATACTCAGAAAGGGACAGTTTATGATAAAATAATTTGATATTACTAGAGCCTAATGACTAATCAAATAAATTTTTTTGGATTAGCTCTCCTTTCTTAATACAAATTTAACAGAGCAAGTACTTTATCTAAGATTTAATTCATACTAAAAGACTCCTTTTTGTCATTTTTCTGGCTGTGAGCCCAGGAAAACAAGAAAGATTTCCTTTAAAGCAACTTTTAACCCACAGAAGTCAAAGAACAAAAGACTCATTTAGAAAAGGCAAGAGACAGGGAGAATTAATACGTACACATTGGTGGTGAAGATGCCGTAGAGCAGATCCAGCTCCGGCAGGAAGAAAGTGCTCTGCAGCTCGTTGTAGTAGAAGGGCACCTCGCCAGGGCGGGAGCAGTTGAGGCGTGCCTTCATGAAGGTGGTCCAGGTGTCCTCCAGGAGGAATCGCCCTCCAATGTCATTCTTGCAGACCCTGGCTGCCCTGGAGAACACGGTCTTCCCACAGTCCTGCTCCACAGCATTTTCTCGGAAGAAGAAGTAGGTGAAATTCCCAATGTCATAAGAAGATACAAAGTTTGGTTCTGGAAACAAGAAGAATATATCAACGTCTACATGCCATTCCTTTTTGGCTTTTCCTGTTTTATCTGTTCACTGTTTCTTCAAAGGAAACATGGTTTGGACAACACCTCGTTCTTAAGGGAAACACAAGTGCCCTGTAAGCTGCTTAATGATCTATGCTTCAGGGAAATAGTCATATGAGTAAGTGTAAGTACAGGATGAACAGCAAAGGTTCACAGTAAAAATTAGAGTAATAAACATTACAGCCTTTATTCCAGGGTTTGAAGGTCTCTTCCACACGCTTCAGAAATATAGACAGAAAATGGGTTAAAAAATAGAATGTGGTGGAAAACATTGGTATCTGAAGTTATACTTGTATATAACACAGTGAAACTCTTGCACACATGCACATAACATAACGTAAATTATATAACCTTAATAAGGACCTTAAAATGTTTGATGTTTTGTTGTTGGTAAAAACTGAATCAAAAACTCATACTGCAAGGTTAGTGCTCTAAATCAGCTTTAGCATTTGCTGTTACCATGGTGACCCTGTAACTGTGACAATCAAGCCTTATTTTCTCATTTTTAGGTCACAGGGGATTCTACAGAGGGAAAATGAGGGCTGAAAAGAACCTAGAAACTTTACTGGATTGTAATTACCTGAAATATAGGAATTTAGAAGTGATAAAATTACAGCAAAGCCTTTAATTAACCACCAAGTTTGTAAGGAATTTAGGAAACAGAAATATACACGTAGTGCTGAAATCATTATCTTCTTAACATGGGGATTGAGGTCAATGATAATAGAGATGACATGTTTTCCCACACTTTTATGTCCTAATTCTTTTCTCTGAAAACTCTATTAACTAATAACTACTTTTAATTCTCACTCTTTTATTTATGCTCAAGAAAAAGCAATTCATTCAACCAATTTCAGAATTTCATGATGCAACTGGGATAATTACAGTACAACCTTTGATGTTCACAATTAATGGAAAGGTACACACAATGGCTGTATCTACAAGGACACAATTTCAGGGACAAATGCTTTGATAGGACAATTCAATTGGCCTTGTGGTTTACCATATCTGAGTGACTGCACTAGTGAGCACACTATTGACAGGATAACAGAAAATAGATCTGCCTGCAAGGTAAGTCAGTATGTTAATAAGACACACAGGCCCATCTAGGAGCTAAAACAGGCACAGAGTTGGCACTGACCCTACTTCTAATATATCCAGCAAAACTGTGAGTACTTTTCTATCCCTTGCCTTTCTCTCTCATTAAAAATACTTTAAAAATAAATAAATATTCCAAATAGTATCTATTCTGCTTTTCCATTAAGCTCTTTGGTTTGTTTGTTTGTTTTTGAAATTTTATTTATTATTCTTATTTTATGTGTATCCGTGTATTGCCTGCATGTAGGTAAGCGCACCCATGTCCTGCAATACCCATGGAGGTCAGAAGAGGCTGTTGGATCCCCTGGGACTGGAGTTACAGACAGTTGTTAGCTGCCATGTGGGTGCTGGGATTCAAACCCAGGTCTTCTGCAAGAACAACCAGTGTTCTTAACCACTTAGCCATCTCTCCAGCCCCAAGCTCTTTGTATTGTATGTAGGTTACTTAAGTGAATCAAATGACACATGGAGACTTTGACAAGGGCCAATTTTAATTTCTATACCATTCAGCATAGTGTTTTAGGTCACTATTTCTTTAACCTGAACTAGAGACATTAAAAACATACAACAATATTGTATAAACACATATGAGATGGACACAAGATATATGTATAGTTATTAGACCTGAAGGATCCTGAAAGTTCATGAAATCAAGGTATGTAAAGAACATAATTGAAATATTGGGGAACTTTTTAAGCTGTGCTTACTAGGAATTTCCAAAAGAATTATTTTCAGAAACAGACTCCAGAAGATATGGGACAATTATAAAACTATCTTTAGTGTTTAAATAGTCACTCCTGTGTCTAAGTCTTCAGAGAAGGCACCTAAATGATTTAAGAATGGATCCAGTACCCAGGTTCATAAGATCAGATTACAGTTGAGGGTTATGCTAGGAAAAAATCCAATAAAACACCATCATCAGTAGCAATAAACTGTGCAAAATGGAGAAAATAAGGTCTGGAGAAATGGCTCAGTGGTTAAGACTAGGTGCTTCTCTTCCAGAGGATTGGAATTTGGGTCCCAAGTGCCTGTGTGGGGCAGCCCAAAACTGTCTGTAACTCCAGCTTCAGTGGATGTAATGCCCTCTTCTGGATTCCACAGGCACTGCACTCACACATGCACATACTCACTCATACACTGACACATACACACAATTAAAAGTCAATCTTTTTAAAAGACAACATAAAATGGAGAAAATAAAGAAGACATGTGAAGAGGATGTGGCCCCCCCCAGGGGGAAGGGATACCATTGCCCAGCTGAGAAGTGTGAGGCATGAGGTGGAACTAACCAAGATTTATCAAATGCCCTAACAAACAGTCATTTAGTATGGGGACAGTTTGAAGAATGTGCTAAATAGCAGTACACAAGAAGCCTTGGGCAGAAGAATAACCACAAAGGAAAAGAGGATCAGTCATGGCTTCTTCCATTTGGGTCTATAATAAAAACAGGTGCAATCTGTGATTAAATGCCAAGACGCCATGTAAAACCTAGATATGGCCAGCTGTGCATTCAGGAGCAGATCCCGGTGGATCCTACGAATTCACGAGCCAGCTTCAGATTCAAAGAGAGACCCTGTCTCAAACGAAGGTGGAGAACAATGGAGGAAGACACACTGGATGTATTCTTCCAGCTGAGAGAGAGAGAGACAGGCAGAGAGAGAGAGAGAGAGAGAGAGAGAGAGAGAGAGAGAGAGAACTGCATTTTTGGTTGACATTCTTGGATGGAGAGCCATAACCTTCAATTGCCAGCATTTGCTTAGACAGTTTAGCATTGATTAAAGAAAATAAATGATGGTGGATATGTCATTTCTAGCTAGCTACTAGGGACAGTTATGAAGGAATCAGAAGAAAGAAAACGGCAGAGGGAAGTGGTCAGTAGTGGGGTGATGTATTCAACAAGAATAGTATTGAAAGGGTTTGACCAGCTCTAGAGCTAAAGGTTTAAATGGTGCATCTGCTGCCTTGGAGTGCCTACGAGTGACCTCCAGGGGACTATCCATGTCCATTTTCTATGATCACCCATGCAGATTTCCCAGAGGAGAGGTTAGGTTGGCACAGAGCCTCTTCCTTGCACAGAAAGCCTCCACCACATCTCAAGCCCTGGACTTGCGTTACAAGCCAGCAGTGGGCATTTCAGATCAAAGTGCTCAGGCATATTTTTCCTTTTTGTTTGAGAAAAGACAGCTTGTGTTCAGTATGTAATATCTGTTGTTCTCTAGTTCACCACATTGAGCAGGTCATGCTGGTCAGGGAGCTAAGCTACTTTGGGAAACAAGTCCTGCTGCCCTACAGTGAACCTTGCTATGATGATGGGTCCCACACTGTGTGACCAGCTGTTAAATCAGGAAGTTCCACTTCTTGGAGAGCAAGTCTTGAAATTCATCCTATTATTTTTCCAAATCTAGTAAAAGTGCTGGAATAGTTGTTAAACAGGCAGTCAAATATCTCTTGTATTTCCAGATACAAATCTGGTGGAAAGGGACACCTGATTCTCACCAGGCAGGATAATAAGATTTATATTGTTTTTCTTCCATTATTTGAGTCCTGTCTATTAAAATGCAATTCACTACAAAATAATACCAAAGAGCCAGGGCTAGTGTGTGAACACAGGGAGGTGGAGGCCTACAGGTCACTGGAGGCTTGCTCATGTGCGCCTGTGGCAATGGTGGTGGTGAGCCCGGGACCCATGTCGGCTTAAGTAAACAAGGGCCTAAAGGGGAGGTGAGAAATAGGTGTCGGGCCAGCACTAGATTGAGAACTACTGGAGACTGATTGTTGCTGGGTGAGGAAGAATGTGACTTATATACGACCACTGGATGGGCTGACTAGACTCCAGTGGATGCATTTACACTGAAGGTCATTTGGGTACAAACACCTGAATGAATAGGACTCAGCATGTATGGCGGAGTGCATAGGGTTCGATGGGGGAATGGGGGAAGCATAGATGGGGGAGGGGAGTCTGGATTTGAGTGGGAAATAGTGTATGAAATTTAAAAAGCTCAATTAAAATTTTCTTTAAAATTGTGATTCTACATATTTACACAATAATGACCAGGAAGTCAGCAGCACTAGGAAGAGACTCAATGGAAATACACATGAGCAACGAGAGAAGCACCAACATTTGAGCACCAAAATCAAATACTGAGCGTCTGCAGGAAGCCTGCCCTTTCCCACTCCTTCCTTCCAATGTCCCATGCGAAGTAAGTTCAAGTGCTTTGGTCAGGGGAAGACCACTGCACCGGTAGGTCACTGACACAGAATGGATGAGAACTGCTGCTCAAGACAGGAAAGAACTCCATTCTTTTATAATTTTACAAAATTCTTACTGGAACCATCCATGAAAAAAACCACACTAAAAACATAGTTAACAAAAGCAGGCTTGACATGATGGGGCCTGGAGCCCATGTGAATTCAGCAGCGCTGGAATGAACTGTGCTGGTTGGTTTCTGTCAGTTTGACACAAACTAGTCACGTGGGAAGAAGGAATCTCATCTGATAAATGGCCTCCACCAGACTAGCTGATGGGTGTGTCTGAGGGAGCATTTTCTACTATTTATTTATTTATTTATTTATTTATTTAATTTTATGTGCATGTGTGTTTGCTGCACATGACCCATGTCATGCAATGCCCATGGAGGCCAGAAGAGAGTATCAGATCCCTTGTCATGTGGGTGCTGGGAACCAAACCCGGGTCTTCTGCAAGACCAGCCAGTGCTCTTAATGCCTGAGCCACCTCTCCAGCCCATCTCTCCAGCCCACTTTTTTGATTACTGGTTGATGTAGGAGAGCTCAGCCCACTGTGGAGGGTAACATTCCTGGGCAGGTGGGGCTGACCTGTGGTA